AAAAAAAAAAAACACACATAGCAAACAGAAGTGATGATAAATTGTGTTAACTCTGAAATTGTCACATTACGTTTCTTTTATAAAAGAATCCTAGCCAAATTAAAAAGAAAAAAGAATTCCAGCTAACATCTAATCTTGTTATCCATCCTAGAGCTATATATTCTATTCTAGTAAATTGCTTGATTAGTACCTTTTTTCTTGTGCCTGAAGTGGTCTGACAGCAGAAACCCTTCCCCTAGACAATTTGCCGCCTTGGTACACATCCTGTTTTGTTTTTTAATTGCCAGAGGGCACATGCACTCACCAGAGAAAGACAGAGTTGGAGAGGGAGAAAGCACCCACCAGAGAGGCCTGGTCATGCTACAGTCCCTTCTCCATTTTGGGCATTGTGTAGTGGTTTTGTTTGATTTGTTATGGGCCACATATGCTTGCTGGAGAGAGCGAAAGAGAGAGAGAGAGAATAAGAATAAGAACAAGAACACATTCCTGGGGTGGGGATGACCGTGCCACAATCCCTTCTTCATTCTCATCTTGGGATTTTGGGGACACATGCTGGCATGTTTATAAGCTGCAAGGTCCAAGAGTCACATCACAAAGTTGACTACTTGGGATCCAGCTGCCTTAACCACTATGCCAATAGTAGCTGGCATGCATGGTTTATCAAGCTGCTAGGACTGGGATTCAAACTGCGGTCAGCCACGTGGAATCTGGCACCTTTAACCATTCGGTCTTCCAGCTGGCCTGCATATGCTTTTTCTATATTAAAGTAGCATGAATTCTTGGTCAGTGATTACTTACTACTTTTATTATTTATTTTTCTGCCAGGTCATGCTTGTGACCATTTGAATTAATATAATTTAGAGATAAACTTGCAGGCAACTCTCAGTGCTGATTTTATTCAAAAGCCGTATGTAAGTGTCCTAGCACAGAGACTGTTATGTAACCCTTATCTCAACCTTGAATTAAGGTTGCTACCCAATATCTAGTCAGTGTTTAAAAAAAAGACAAGAATACTCAGTCTTTCAACAAAGCCTGCAGTGGGCTGGCTCTGTAGTCTAGAGGTTTAGGGGACCAGATCCCATATGTCTGACCACAGTCAGAATCCTGGTCCTGGTGGCTTGGAAAACACACTGGTTATATGTGCAAGTGTGCCCCAGATCTCAACAGGATGGAGAAATGAAGAAGTATGACCATGTCCCATTAGGGGTTGCTTTCTCCCTCTTCCTTTTCCTGTCTTTGGCATGCACCCTGTGGCACATGCACCCTGTGGTAATTTTAAAACAAAACTATGTAGTGTATAAGATATCACTGAGCCAATAGCTCCAAAAAGAGCAAATTTTGTTTTGTTTTAGTTTTTCTATAGGGTACATGCACTCACTGGAGAGAGACACACACACAAAGGGAGAAAGCACTCTCAAGGGGGAATGACCATGTCACAATCCCTTCTCCCCACTCTTCTCAGGATCTTGGGTATGCTCATGCACCGGCATGATTTTCAAGCTGCCTTCAAGCTCCCAGGTCCGGAACCCCCAGTAGAGGCCATGTGGATCAAGCTACCTTCACCTTCATACCACCTGGCATAGCGGTTATGTCACTGGACTCCCACAGGGCTGACTGCAGTTCAAGTCTTGGACCCAGTGGTTTGAAAATCACGCTATGCCCAAGATCCCAGGAGGAGAATGGAGGAGAAGGGGTTATGGAGGTTATTCACCCTGGGGAGTGATTTCTCACTTTACCTCTCACTGTGTCTGTATGTCTCTCTGGTGAGTGCATGTGCCCTAAGGCAAAAACTTCTTTAAAAATAAAAAAAAAAAACCAAACAAGAATCAAATTAAATTTAATTTTTTATTATTTTAATATGACCAGAAAGAGACAGAGAAAGCAAATAGCCAGGTACAGGACTTGAACTGCAATTGGCCATGTGGGAGTCCAGCACCTTAACCACCATGCCACCTGCTGGGCCCCTACTGGTAACTTTTAGTTGCCATCTCAGATTCCTCCCATTGGGCTTTGCACATAGTTCAGTGTGGTGAATGAATGGGTGAAAGGGACACAAGACACATCATGGACTCAGTCAGGTGTTGAATAAATCATTTCTTATTTGTTTTACAGGCACTGGAGGAAGAACCATGGCCAAGGCTGAACTCTAAGGACCACATACCTGCCCTTGTTCGTAGTAATGCCTTCTCAGAGAATTTTTTAGAGATCCCAGCTGAAATAGCTCGAGGGAGTATCCAGGCTGTAGTCATGCCCTCAAAAGATCCAGAGCCACTTGAAGAAAATTGCACTAAAGCCCTGACTTTAAGGTTGCAGGATTCTTTGACTAATAGCCTGTCAGTTGGCCTTGTGCCTACTAATTCAGCAAACACCATCGTGGACCAAAAAAATGTAAAGATGTCAACTCCTGGTCAAATGAAAGCCCAAGAAGTTGAAAGAACCCCTCCAGCAAACTTTAAAAGGACATTAGAAGAATCTAACTCTGGCCCCCTTATGAAGAAGCATAGACGAAATGGCTTAAGTCGAAGCGGTGGTGCTCAGCCTGCAAGCCTCCCCACAACCACTCAGCGAAAGAACTCTGTTAAACTGACCATGCGACGCAGACTTAGGGGCCAGAAGAAAATTGGAAATCCTTTACTACATCAGCACAGGAAAACTGTTTGTGTTTGCTGAAATGTATCTGGGCAAAGTTAGGATAAAAGTGAGCTTTTTAAATTTGGTGCCGAAATCGAACTTTTTTAAAGGGGTAAAATAAAAAGAGTATATACAGTTTGACTTTTTGGAATTCAGCAATTTTATCCTGGCCTTGTACTTGCTTGTATTATAAATGTGAATTTTGTAGATGTTAGGGTATAAGTTGCCGTAAAATGTGCGTGAATTTGTATCCTTCACACAAAAATCAGTCTCTTACTCTGATACACAGTAATTGTGGCAATAGGGCTAAATATTTAAAACAAAAATCAAAATATCTATTACATTTTAGAAATACATTTAAACTTTTTAAAATGCTTATTAAAAATTTGTATAAGCCACTTGTGATGGAAACTACACAATTTTTTAAAGTAAATTATTAAGCAGACTGGAAAAGTGATGTATTTTCATAGTGACTTGTGATCCACTTACTGTTTCTTAGAGACTACTAGTGTCTTTTAAAGATTATTTTATTTCTAATTTCATAATTCAGAGCTAATTTTTTCATAGAAGTGTTGAGCCATGCTAATGTAGCTGGACTTTAGTCTTCTTATCTCACTTGAAATACTATGCATTATCTTTGATTATAGTAGCATTTTCTAAAACAGTAATCACCAGATATACTCAGACTCTTTGGCATAGAGGTGTTTTTGCCTAAAACAATGCCCTTCGCAGTCATCCCAGACCAATGGCATCATGAGGTCTTAAAGTAGTTACCCTCTTCTAGTGTTTGCTTAAAATATGTGAAGTTTTTCTTGCTATTTCAATAACACATGGTGCTGCTAATCCCCAACATTTCTTAAATTATTTTATATCAGACAGTTTCATTGATCATATGAGCATACGTTTGTTCATCTAATAAATCAGTGAACCATTCTAATGTTGCTGAATGTTTTAAATAATTATTTAATTTTATTTAATATTATTATTTCTTTAATGTGCTATAGGGCATGTGTACTCACCAGAGAGAGAGAGGGGGAAAGTCAAAAAGCTACCATCGGGTCTAGGACTTAAACTGCTGTTGACCATGTGGTAATTCAGTGCCTTCACCACCACGCCACCTGCTGGCCCTCTTTTTTTTTTTTAATGGTGCATATTAGCTTTATGTTGTGCCATGATCATGCTTTAGTGTAATAACTTATGAATAATGTACTTTTTGCATTCTGAATTGTTTATTGTTTAAAAATTATTTTAAAAAAAGATTATTTGTTTAATTTTTTCATCCATTTATTTTAATTTGACCAGAGAGAGAGAGAGAAAGAGGAGAAAGTGAGAAAGCAAGCCACCATGTCCGGGACTCAAACCATGGTCGGCCACATGGGAGTGCCCAGCACCTTAACCACCACGCCACCTGCTGGACATCACCCCAAAAATATTTTTAAGGTTTGCACCATAGGCCATTTGCGCTTACCGGTGAGAGACAAAGATAGGGAGAGGGAAAGTGAGAAATCATTCCCTAGGGGGAATATCTATGCCGCCATCCCTTCTCCCCTTTCTCGGGATTCTAGACATGCACGCACATGTGCCCTAGTGTAGTTTCCAAGCCTCCGGGTCCTGGACTTGAACTGCAGTGGACCATGTGGGAGTCCAGCACCTTAACCACCATGCCACCAGCTGGCCCCTATTTACTTCTTTTAAAAGAGGGTTTTCGGGAACCAGCAGTTAGCGTAATGGCTATGTTGCTGGACTCCCACGGAGCCGACCACGGC